CTTGTTCACTTGTCTAATGTCCTTCTGCGTAGTCATTTACATTTGGTACGTTCTTTACCAAGTCATCTTTGTCCAAGGAATTTTCGCTGACTTCAAATTCCTATCATTGCTTAATTGTTGCGTGGTAACCAGAATTCATCCATTGTGAATGGTGCTTTAGCTTTAATTTTTGTTTTTCAGGTTTATCCAGTTGCATATGAAGATATGGATTCCCTTACTTTTGGAGCTCCTATATTTCTTCGCCATTTGATGGATCGCAACTCAAGAAAAGTTCCAGTCATGGAATTTGAAATTTCCAAGGTACTTAGAAAAGTATATTCATTGCGATTGGTTAATCTTTTTTTTCTCACTTTCATGACTTTTAGATCTTGGAGGATATGAATCTGAATATAGATCAATTCATTGACCTGTGGATTCTCTCTGGATGTGTTTATTGTGAAAGCATTCAAGGTAGACGTGATATTACTGCAGTGCCTACTGTTAACTGTTTTATGCCATTGTGTATCATTCTCCCCTCTCGTATGTTTTAGCTTGATGATTTCGGTGGATTTACTTTGGAATGAATTTATTAGGTATTGAAGGGCTGACTACTCTTAAGCTCATCCGTCAACATGGTTCCATAGAAAACATACTAGAGAACATAAACAAGCAAAGGTGCTTCTTATTCTCTTATCTTGTCCCCCGACTTGTAAGCAAAATAAGGCAGCAAAGTTTCTCACTATAATAGTCTTGTCTGCTGGATTCCTTGACTTAAAAGAATTATCTCTCATACTCAGCTGGCGTGCATATATTTGATCAACAATTTGAAGCTGAGAGATCATTTGCCACTAGCAGATTTGGGCTGGCAATTAGTGCATCAACCATGCTACTTCATGTGCTGATCTACTATAATACTTTTATCTATTCCAATGTCTGCTTTGTCTGTTATTTCTCTCTCACTTGAACAAAATCGTATCGTTTCTCTATCCTTAAACCCAGAGGTTTTTTTCATTACTTGGAAGTCTTTATTGAGTTCGGTTATCCTTCTTAAGGAAATGTTTGCTTGTTTTTGAATAGGTAGCAGATACCAGATAATGGGCCCTATATCGAAGCTCACCTGCTTTTCAAGGAACCAATAGCTTCTACGGAAGAACAACATGAGATAAAATGGACTGCTCCAAATGGGGAGGTGGGCTGTTTTCATGTTGGGATTTACTTGCAACATTTCACTTTTTGAATTCTCAACTCGTTTCCTAACTAATTGTTCTTTCCCTTTCAAGGACTTAATTTCCTTTCTCGTGAATGAGAATGGGTTCAACATTGACAGAGTGACGAAGGTATGACTTCTATCTTCAGTAATGTGTTGGTCAGTTGCCTACTCGAGGAAGTTGCTTCTTTTCCTCTGAAGGAGAGAGCATCCATGTTTTCAATGTTGTTTTGCCATGGGTATCAGGCGATAGAAAAGATTAAGGCAGCTAAGGATAAGTCATCACAAGGCCGGTAACTAAAGCTTGAACAATTGAAAACTTCCAAAATGCACTTTCTTTTATCTGATGATTCCTTTCATTTATTTTCTACAGATTAGAACCCTTCTTGAAGCCAGCTAAGAATCCATCTGTACCTGCTAAGAGGAAGGTATGTCATCTTGATATCTTTGAGTACCGAGCACCAGGACTTTCCTTCTTTCAATGTATGTGAAGGTGTAATGTCACATGTTGGTCTAGTGAAGAGATATCTTCATATGCTACTTTTGATGGATGAATAGTATTCCCTTTAACTCACTTCATAAGCCATTGATTGCCCTAGCGATGCACAAATGATTAGATCTTTGTGATCATTTTTAACCTTTTGGTGATAGTGTTGTAAATCAACGGTAGTATGTTGCCATGCCACTGCTGCTTATGCCCGATTACTCTCATATAACTTTACGGATGTGCTAATGGTGTTGCACCACCCTATTCATGAAATCAATTAGATAAACAAAAGCACCAGCCTGCTTATACGGATCTGTTAAGAGTTTCGGCCTGATTAACTACCGTAATTGCACTGGATGACAGGGAAGCAAATGCACACTTCAATCCCCCAATCTGGCATTCAAGCCTAAGACACTCTCTACACATGTCTCTGTAAATCTCCAGCCCTGGTTCCTTGGCATCTTTAAGATGCCAACCATTGTCCTGGGTTTGAGGAACTTCAAACGGCCATTGACAGTTGTCTGCCTCTCGACGTAAAGCTAAATGTTGGTGAATGTAAGAACCCTATTTATTGAGCGAGTCCTGACTTGTAGATGCTGTTTTTGCGCGTTGTTGGAAGCAAGTTGACGTTTTCCTTTCCTAAAAAACGGGTCATGTCTTATGGTACTGCCATTTTGGAAGAGTTGTATAAATTTTTATTGGATGGATGAAGCTTGCCCTCTATGCTAGAATGAGAGGGGTACTTCTTGTCGGGCAGAGTCAATATTAACCAGTGTTCCTTTTAGAGTGTTGTTTATTTGCTGTTTAAAGGATTCCATTTCTTCCATGTATTGTACATTTTACGATACGTATATGTCACTTATGCAAATTGTATATTATTTTCATCCATGCAATTGGAAACCCCTGAGAATATTGCCAAAGCAGCAACTAACAAGAATTCCGGGCTGGTGGTGGTAAGAACAAATAGTTTAGTCGGCAAATAACAGATCATGGAACGGCAAAACCATCGACATCTATGTCAGGTATTTATGAGTTTCCCGATGGCGATTCTTCACAATTCTTGATTTCGATGTCTTTCTTAAATCTCCCTGTTTGGAATTGTGATCCACGTGTCGTTATGTTTCTTGCTTTGTTCAGGAGGTTTGCATGCAAATTACGGGTGGGAACTTGATGTCAGTTTGTAATCTCATGTAGTCTTTGCTGGATACTATCACATCATGGAAGGTTTCTGGGTGCTGACTGCTGATTTAACTGTCTTTCATGACTACTTGTTTATCTCGTTGGACTACTATCGTGTGTAAGTTTTTCTGTGCGCATACATTTGATGGGTTGCCTGGTAACTCCAAAGATGGAGATATGAAACTACACCATTTCGATATAAAATAATTAGTAGATAAAACAATCGTTGTCAAATTAATTCCCTTCAAAAAGAATGAAACTCTCTTGGAGAAGTTATTTGATAAGGATCCATCTTATAGGTGATGATCCTTCTGCAGCAAGCAATCTCAAAGGCAGACAAGAACTTTATACGCTTCTGTGGGTACATTTTCAAGTTTCAAGCCCTCAACAAGAATAATTTCCTGCAGCTTTACCATAGTGTCCGTTTCTTGAGCCTAGACTTCATATGAAAATGCAACGATGTGAAATCCGGGCAAAATCACCATCACTAGTTTAGGTCTGAGATGGCAATTCAGCAATGAAACATGGTCATTCTCAACTTTGATCAGGAAATTTGTCATAGTCAAATGAATTTTTTTACTTGGCTTTCGAGAAAGATAAGATGGGATGGAATCAAATCATCATATGCAGCAACAGACAGGTAATCAATTCATGAATCGAATAGCACAGACTCTGTCACGCAAGATTACATCTCAATCTTAGACATGTAATAATCTACAAATTGCTGAACAAGAAAGAAAATAGATGATCATGTTGCACTATTTCTCAAGAGTTAGGTTTAGAAAGAAACGAACCTGCGTAGTGATCAAAAACCCAATAGCAACAAATGCTTGAGCATTTTCTTACACATGTCTTTAGAGATCAACCAAATATCATGTGTTCATGTTGACAGTTATTACAGCACCATATTGCGAGAAAATCAAATAAGATGAAAGTATGCATTTCTTGCCATGCCTAAGAAAAATAACATTTGCTTGTAGTTTAACTGCAAGTAAAAATTGGTGGTAATCGAAAAGGTAGCTACTTAACAATAAAATAAATCCTAACATAGTTTCTGGGTAATGATTTGGAAACATCATGAAGTAAACTATAAATCAGTGAGTCTTGGTAAAAGGTGAAGGAAAGTTGACAATGAAGCAAACCGCCGTACACAAAAACAAATAGAAAAAAAGAAAAAGAAAAGAACTTTCTCACTAAGATTGCATCAGAAGAGTAAAGAGGGACGAATCCTACCAACATTTTACTTATTGTATCTCTTTCAAGGGCCCCTAACATTTATTACTCATAACACGAGGAAGAACAATGCATCCCAAAACTACAATATTTCTTTATTTACAAAGTTTTACAGCATATTAAAAAAAACACATCCGGGTAATTCAAGAGATAAAAAACAGTTTGAAGATATGATCTCCGTCGGTGGTCTCTACAAACTAGATAATTATTAAAAAGGTTCTAAACCTATTGTCGTTATGAGAACCAACCACTTTCAAGGTTAATGATGCAAGGAGAAAGAAAAGAAGAGATGAACTAAAAGGTATCCAGTCATAGGCAAATACTTTCTAGTTATGCCATTGGATTTCCTTTACAGGTCTCATTCTTGAGATTGGAGATCCTCTATAGTAAAACTGCATATGCATATACACCACCACATCATTCAATACTTATCCTGAATCAAGTCAACGAACTTATGAAATTGAAATTTCGTTATGTGCGGACTGAGTAAGCAGGAATCAATAATTTAGCTAGACTGAACTAGTAATATACGTACTCTAAAAAACTGATCAACAATGCAATTTATGACGTATGATTTATGAGATTGCTCAATTTTAATTATATGCTGCAGGGTAATTTACAGGTTTTCAGGAATTCAACTAACTTCGGAAGACTTGGTACGCTCAATGGGGCGGAAATAACTTCAGCAATAGCCTTCTCCATATCTTTGCCCCGTCAGATGGATCATCTGATACTGAATTAAGATCCCTTGCTTCTTGCAGGGCTTCGAGGTACCGTGACGTTTGCATTCTTACTTGGTGTCCCTTCTTGCCACTAAGAATGTGATTAGGTACTAAAAGTGATGACTCCTTCGACGACAAGGTCTAGGATATCAAACTGGAATGGTGGAGGGAAGTTTAACAACTGAAACTGTCGATGGCATAGAAATCAATTCATGCAGTGCATTTATTACATGACCAGAAAATCCTTTTGCAGCAAACAAAATACTTTGTAGCCCAGAATGCAAAGATTGAGGCTGAGAGCTCCCTTTGAGACTTTCAAGCTCTCTCCCATGCAAAACCGGTGTCTGTTCATCTCTGTACATTCCAAAGCTGTTTGACAGAGACGGCCTATTCTAAAGCCAATTTTGAAAGCAAAGTTAGAATCGAGTACGAGTTATTATTGCAAATGAGTGAATTAGAGAAATCACACCACTATTCTTACACAAAAGTCATCTTATGTACTCCATCTTCTGACTTTCTTTTTGTATTATTCTTTTGAACCTGATACATAATTCTTCTTACATAAGGAAAGAGGAATAGATTCCAACGGATCGTACCTGCCCGTTTTTTTGTCTGAGGAGGCCAGGCCATATTATCAAAGCTCTGAGACAGAACCTTATGGAGCCGAACCCTTGAGACCATGGAAAACATAACTAAGATAAGAACGCTAGCCACTCAAGGACCAAAATCCAAAACAACTCAACAACAGTTTTGTTAGCAAAATGGAGGCAATGTAGGAAGTAATTACTTTCCACTGCAGATGAAGTCATCGAGAGTGAGGACACTGCTGTTCCACACCGCAAGTTTTGGCATTATTTGAGCGTGCCTTCAGCTTCATTTTGGTCTTTGTAAGCCTAATCCGCACCAGAAGACAAACAGTTTGGCTCCGCCTCCACGTCCTTGCAGTGCTCTTCATGGTCTCTCGTCCGGTCCAGGACGAAGTCATTGTTGGTCAAGTTCATGTGCCGAGCTTTGCAATGTACTACTCTCTATATAACTCATCTTCAAATGGCCTCTCAATCTTTGTCCAGAGAAGGGCAGTATTTGTCATCAATATTTATCGTTGGAACTCCTTGCCCAACAAACAAGTCCTGTTCAGACTTCCTCACATACACAACATCATAATTGCCGGACAATCCGAGAATGTGGGGATCTGCTGAACTTATAAAACATGCCCTCATGACATCAACAAAGCCTGAGAGGTGTCACCTAATACAAGAATATTCTAAATTCAAATTTGAGGTGTCACCCCCAAACTCTCCAGCATTAATAATCGTCAGCCTCTTTAAAGATTCCAATTGGTTTAGACCTTCCACGCTTCTTAGCTTTGGACAGTTTCCTATTCTGACCTTCGTTAGCTTTTTCAATTTCGATAGGTCCGACATCCTCTCCATGGAACTGCAATCCTCGACCCATAGGGAGCAAAGGGATCCCAGTTCTTCAAGGCCACTAATCTCAACTAACAACTTGCAATCTAGCAGAATTATGTCTTGCAGATTCTTCATGCGCGACAGATCAAATACTTCTGGGAGGAACTCACACCACAACATGGTTAAAGATCTCATTCTTTCCATTTCCAACTGAATCAATGCGTCCAATTTTCTAAATGTGCAGTTGTCAATACGGAGGACCTCCAACTTCGCATCAAATATACCAGAAAATTCCGGCATGGAACAACTATAGAATGTCAAGATTGACAGATTTTTCAAATTGGAAAAATCAGGGGATTGTGTGGTCGCCAGATATCGAAGTTGTAACTTTCTTAAACTAGAAGGAAGCTGGGGGAGGAATTGCACGTTTTTGCAGGACAATGTTAGTGTTTCCAACTGAGATAGGGTACTGATGCTAGTGGGAAGAGCAGTGACAAGTGTTTCCAGCTGAGATATGGTACCAAATCTAATGGGAAGAGCAGGAGCTAGCTCATCTCGTGTCAAGCCTCCGAAGGATTCCCATCCACAATGGGGCGCCCATCTCAGGCAAGTCAAACTTTGGGGAAGCTCCGGCAACTGTTTAAGCACAGGACATGGTTCTAGATTAAGTATTTGGAAATTAGAGAGGCAACTCATTGTCGTGGGTAATCCGGAAATACCCGTGAATGACAAGTCTAGGATCCTCAAACTGGACAATCTCTCAATTTCTTTTGAGATGTCACCGGTCAAGTTGAAACATTGACGAGCGTCTAACTCTTCAAGCTTCTCCAGCAGCCCAATTGCACCTGGTAATTTTGTTATCCCACTTACATTCCTCATCCTAAGTACTTTCAGTTGCTTTAGATTGCCGATTGAATCAGGTAGGCAACCAATACTTGTCGATGACAAATCCAACTCAACTAATGATTGTAATTTCCCAATTGAGTTTGGAAGTTCCTTTATCATCACGCACTCAGATAAATCCAACTGCGTAATTTTCACCAACCCTCCAATCGAGTATGGCAGTCTTCTAATCTGACGATTTGGTACATCAAAGGTCAACAATGACTGCAAATTACCAAACGTCTTCGGAAGTTCATATAGCGTATTAGGCACGACAATCTTTGTCAAAGCTCGTAGACATCCTATTTCTTCGGGCAACACTCGAAGAGACTGACATCCCTCCAAGTTCAAAGCAATTAAGAGTTTTAATTTACCAATGGATGGGTCAATTTCAATTAAGTTGTGACAGCTTTTAACAATCAATCTCTCCAAGGACACCCATGTAGATAAATCAGGTGTTCTCCTTAACTTCATGCAGTAGCTGAGATCTAGTACTTTTAGTTTATTTGCCTGCAAAAGAATTTGATAAAATATATATTAAAAAATGACCTGTAGGAAAAAAAATGACAAAAGAAACGATATGCATATGCAAGGAGGGGGACTTGTATCGTACTCTGATTTGGTTCCAGCCAACCCATTCCTCCGAAATATCGCTCCGTGAAAGGTCAAGAACGACTAAATTAGTCGGATGAAAGTTTGTTGCCTCAAACTTGGAAGGCCACCATCGCCAAGAAAGCCATCTTAAATTAGAGAGGAGATCTTTGAAGTCTCCTACAAGGGACCCCTCCTCCCCTTGAATGAACCTTAAGTTTGGTAAATCAGCAATTTCATCATGCTTTAGAATAATAAGTCCACGTAAGAATCCACGAAATCCCAGTGACAGTGCTTCTATTTTCCTACTTCCCTAACAATGGAAACACAAAGAAGTCGACATGTGAAGGTCAAAATCAAACAATTGCAAGCTCTAATTGCGACAATTCACAGTAAACCTTTTTATACCTCTTTCCGCTTCAGAATGCTCAGCGTTTCCTCATGATTCCACACTCTACTACGGTCGCAGGGATCATTGCAATTCTCTTGACGGACGATTTCCCTTCCGAGGTCCCGTACTTGGTCATGCATCCAGAAAGTATTGTCATCTTTGATTTTTATGAAGGACATGAAAGTGAGAACATCAAGGGCATTGTGTGGGCAATATCCACAGGCATTCCACATGTAGATAGGGTATGTTTTGTCCCGATTAACAAAGAAACAAGCTATATCGAGAAATACTTGCCTTTGGGCACGATCTAACCTTTCATAAGTTATCAACAATTTTTTTTGGACTCCAGCAGAAGGAGCTTCTTTTAGCTTCTTCAATGTGTCTTCCCATAATGTTTCAGCTTTACCATTAAGGGATGAACCTGTAATCTCAAGAGCTAAAGGAAGGTTTCCCAAAATATGGACAATTTTTTTGGAAATGGAGGCACGATGATCCGGTGGAGAGTCTCTTCTGAAGGCATGCCTACTGAAAAGCTTAAGAGCATGACCAAATTCCATTTCCTGTACATCGTAAGTCAAAACGTTTGCAGACTCTTTTACAGGACCTTCACCTATTACTTCTCCCTCAATCATTAGGACACTTTGGTCCCTAGTGGTTATGATAATCCTACTACCAAAACCGAACCAACTACCTTTTGCTGCTAGACTTTTCAGGTGCTCTTTCTCATCCACATCATCAAGAACAATTAGAACTTTTTTATTTCCAAGTACTCCGTCGTTAAGCTTGTTGATCCCATCGTTCACATGATAAATTTGGTCTGTAGAATAATAACCAACGAGCTTGGAGAACAGTTGTTTTTGCAAATTTAGCAGACCATTATTACCTTTTGATGATTCCCGAACATCTGCAAGGAAACAACATCGGTCAAAGCTAGAAGATAGTGTGTTGAAGATGACCTTAGCAAGGGTTGTTTTGCCAACACCGCCCATTCCGTAGATTCCGAGAAATCGTATACTATCAGATCCCACATCCAACATTTTGATTATCGTTTGTACAAGATCATCAACTCCGACTAGATGTTCAGTTACATTTTCATGTGCAACCTTCAGCTTCATTGAAACGGTTCGAATTACCGAACGGATAAGATCTGCTTGGCTGCCATAAGGAAACAACCATGTTAGGGATAACTTTTATATTGTAAAACTACTCCCAAAGTGACTAAATTGCCCTCACATGTTGAGGAAATTATGCAAAGAAAAAAATGTAGACACCAAAGCCATTCTGATTTTAAGCAATCTCTCTCCGCTCCCCAACTTCAATCACCATCACAGTCAGCCCCTGCCACTGCCACGCCGCCGTTGATGTCGCTTGCCTCCCTGCACGGTCACCATCGCATTCCAGTGCCATTCCTGTCGCGCCCCGTCGACCCGCCATCTCGGCCTTGCCTCCATTCTCCACGTGATGTGGGTCATGGCCTTGCGACTGCTGGGGATGGCATCATTGGCCTTGGGCAACACCAGATTTAGGGTAGCCCACGGTCAGTGACGCCGGATATGGGCTCGGCGGCATCAGGCCCGACGTCCAGATCATGGATCCTGGATCCGACTTGCCACAGTGAGTGAGACAGAGAAAGTGTGGGGGCCGAATGGCTCAGAGGCTTCTGGCAGCTTGCTGTTGGGCTGGCGACAAAGAAGTGGCAGCAACTTATGGACAAGCTGCTGCGGTGGCTGGCCGGCAGCTTGGTGGAGCTGCTCGGAGATCTATTACTGTTCGTGACTATCATATCGGAGACGGAGAGTGAGAGGAGAGTGAGAATCAGGATGAGTAGGGTGCGCTACCACCGCAATGGTGCCATGGTGCCATTGACGGGAACTATTGCAGCGATACCGCTGCTAGCGGCCGCTATTGGCCACTACCAGTGAGAATTCCGTTCTCACAGCTATAGTGGCCGATAGCAGTAGTGGTAGTGGCCACCGACGGCTATTTAAACTACATAGAATCATCCAGATGAATAAACTATATTTTCACCTGGAAAACGAAATCTACTGATGAAAATTGAAAAGTTTAAGACACTTACCCCTCATCTTTCTTCCGGTTCCATCCCTTTATCTTGCCCACCTCAATGAGAGCCTTTCTCCATGATTCTACTTCAGTGCACAACGTCTTCTTGCGCTTTGAAAAAGTTTGTCTATACAAATTTGTTTTGAGCTTGACATCTTCAGGTTCTACGTCCAAGAAAATCGGCAGAATCTCTTTGTTCCCATTCAATTTCGAGGTGCACTCAACCATATATGCAAGCTCTCGAAGGCACCAGTGACTCGAAGCATAATTCTCAGAGAATATAGGAATGTAGATCTTGGAGTTCTCAATTGCTTGTAGAAGTTCACGACCAATTTCCTTACCGACATGGAGGGATTCATTGTCCCTAAAGACGATGATCCCAGCGTCAACCATGCCATGATAAAGATGATCGGTGAATCCATAACGAGTGTCTACTCCTCGAAAACTCAGAAAAACCTCATATGAAGGTCCGGATAATGTCCATGAATTCGTCCCTTTCTCCATTGTAGGATCTCTAAACACCAAAGATATCAAATCCTTTCTATCTCTCAGGGAAGTTTGATTTAGGTGTGCTTGGATATGAGCGAGGGCTGTCAATATGATAAGCTCTCTCAGTCTATGGCGTCATGGGGTAGGGGAAAACTTTCCATGAGTCATCCGAGAAGTTTCCGAGAAGTTTCCTAAAAGTTTCCGTGAATCCATGAATGGGTTGTCATCCTAGAAGTTTCCGGGTCCCATTCATTTAATAACAAATTTAAAATTAAAATTATCATATATGTGTCATAATATTAACATCACTTTATGAAGTGCTGGTGTTACCGATAAAAACAATTAAATAGTATAAGAGACTGAAAACAATCATTCACATTATTACTCAGTTATAAAATAACGTGACAAACTTTGAATGCTTGACTATGCTCTACCTTTTCAAATAATACTTTATAGTATATAGAGCTAGATCTCAAACAAATATGATGATCTTTTATATGGATCTAAATCCCAAACAAATATGGAAAGAAATATGATATCACAAATTTAAACATAATCATATAAAAGACGCTGACAATGTTTCGAATATATGGAGATTCGACAAATCGAGGAACGTATCAACCAAGATTACACAAAATCAACTCAAATATATCTAGTGTCCCATTCAAAATGAAACCAACACTTTTTGAAGTATAACGTGGCCGGTGTTACAAATAAAAGCAGTTAGAATAATATAAGAGATTGAAAAGAGTCATTCACATCATTACTTAGTTATAAAATGATGTGACAAATTTTCAATACTTGACTATGCCCTACCTTTTCAAACGATTACTTATTGTATGTAAATCTACATCCCAAACAAATGTGGAAATGTGATACCATACATTAAACATAAAGACAGCTATATAAAAGACGCTGACAATATTCCGAGGCAAGATTTGATAAATGCGAATCACATTAATGAAGATTACACATAATCAAACCAAATATATCTAGCATCCCGCTTACAATAAGATGATTGCAGTGAAAACAACTTGATTTTGGAAATTAAGTTGTAAAATAGTCTAGATAATCAGATTTAGCAATGAAGTGAATGTAGAGTGCCATGAACAGTACTTTTTTTTATTTACAAAATGGATTGATTTGAAAAACTCTCAATGCAAACTATTTTACTAATTAGGATCCAATTGTGAGTAGCCTGATATATTTTATACCAAATCTTACAAATTGCAACTCGCTCATCTTAAATTTTAAATTAAAATTTCAAAAGAAGGTCACAAGCGGAGGCGATAAATTATCAAATTTAAATTAATCCTGATTGGTTAATTTTTATGGAAAGCACTCAAGTCCCAAATCATCGTTGTTAGCTAATCTACTTCACAGCGTGTAACACGGGAAAGCAAACCAAAGTCTTCTGACATCTTGCTTGCTTCGTTGCATTTTCCTTTTCTTTTCTTCACAAGGCAAACGCCAACAAAACCTACTCAAAAGAAAAGAGGAGGGAGAGAGGAAAAGACTGACGATGGAAAAGCAAGTCAAAGTCTTCCTCCATCTTGCATTAAGAGCCGAGGAGGGACCCTTACCAAAAAGTCACATTCAAAGGACATGCCAAAAAGTAGAACGCGCTTTACCGGTCATCTCGGAAGTTTCCCAGAAGTTTCCATTGATCAATCAATGTGTTGTTGTCCTAGGAGTTTCCATGTCCCATTCATCTAATAAAATATTTTAAATCAGAGATTCATAGCCATAAAAATAGAGGATATAAAGTGAAAGTAATATTATACATCGATCACATGACGGACGTGGTGTAATCGGTTAATTCATATTGCCCATGTAATGTCCAGGTCATTTTAATGGGCGCTGAAATATTAAAAATATATACTTTGCATTGATTTATCACGCCATGTGATACAACTGTCACATGAAATATCTTTTATTTTATCACATCATTTCTCTCTCTTTCTCTCCCCCCACCATACTACCAATCAACACCGCCATCCTTGTCCACAATCAACTGTCACATGAAATATGGAAAGATATATGATACCACACCTTAAACATAAAGATAGCTACATAAAAGACGCTGACAATATTTCGAATATTTGTGAGATTTGACAAATCGTGGATCATATCAATAAAGATTACACAAAATCGACTCAAATATATCTAGCATCCTACTCAAAATAAGATCATTGCATTGAAAACAACTTGACTTAGATAATCAATTTTTGCAATGGAGTGAATGTAGATTGCCACAAACAATATGTTTTCGAATTACAAAATGGATTGATTTGCAAAGTTCCCAATATGAATTACTTTATTAATTATAATCTAATCGCTTGATATATTTTATTCCAAATCTTAAAATTGCAACTCACTTATCTCTAATTTTAAATTAAAGTTTTAAAAGAAGGTAATGAGAGGAGGCGGCGAATTATCAAGTTTAAATTAATCCTGATTGGTTAATTGTCTGGACAGCACACGAGTCCCAAGTCAAAGTCTTCTACTTTCTTGCTTGCTTCGTTGCATTTTCCTATTCTTTTCTTCCGACCAAAGAAGGGGAAAAGGCAAAAGCCTACAAAACCTTCTCGATTGAAAGAAAGAAAGAAAGAGACTCTGGCGTGGGAAAGCAAGTCAAAAGTCTTCCACCATCTCACTTGCTTAGTTGCAAAGAAAGTAAGCGATGAGGCAAAAGCTGACAAAACCTACTCAAAAGAAAAGGGAGCAAACAAGACAGACTCTGGCGATTGAAAGCAAGTCAAAGTCTTCCACCATCTTGCATACTTAGTTGCATTGCGAGACAAGAGACCATTATTTATCTTGAAAACATTGTATAAAATTAATTTATTAGTGATGTGCTGGAGAAAATTAATCACAATATACTAATCATATTAAAACTTGTGTTTTACATGGGACTCGGCAGGGACTTGGTATGTTCGACAATGCTGGATTAAGTCGGTATATGTCAGACTCTTCAAATTGTCTATTAACTCTAAATAGCTTATATGGATATGATAGTATAGGTTGTAATGTTATTATTTTATAATATTTTTTCTGTAAATTGAAAAGACTGAGCCAATACAAGCCACTGTACATAAATGTGAACCCGCAAGTATACTATGCATATAATCCTCACGTTAGTCTCATCAAGAGTTAAAGGAGAGTTGAGATTGATACGTGGAAGCCATTTGTTACTTGGGATATACATCAACATAGCCAAGATCCATTTTCTTCTCCCCCGCTTTCTCTGCTTATGCTGATCGTGAGTTTTTTGAGATTTACATTAGATCCATCATTTTTTATGGGTGTAGATTCAATTCAACATTTATTCGATTTGCGGAATAATTCCCCCTTGTTATGAGAGTGCTATTAAAAGGAGTAACATGTAAAACTAGTAAGAATTTTGCTTTCCCCTGAGGATCGAACTTGTAATTTTCTGGCTTAACAAATAATGGACCGGTATACTGATATGGAAAAATATGATTATGGACCGGTATACTGATATGGAAAAATATGATTTTGCCAGCTTTTATTGGATAGAAACCACACGAATCAAAGGCACCTTGGCGCTCTCCAAGTGTATATACCAGAGCAATATTAAGATAAATGGAATATCATTGGTTCATTGGCTCTTTGATTCTTCCATCTTTCATCCATTGACTGAGATGAGACATCAATGTCCCTAAATGGAACAAATTCATTCCCACCTATCATCTTAGTACCACCAAAACTTAGGCTTTTGAAACGGGGTTAAAAATCATGGGCTCTGCTCCGCAATAAATAAAAGCAAACCATCAAGCATACGAAGAGAGAAAAAAGACACTACAAATGTCATAACTTTTGCACGGCTCTCAATTAAGTGCCACAACTTTTTTTTTTTATCATTTGAGTGTCATAACTTTCGTACGACACTCACTTAAGTTTCATGTAACTCTTTAGTAGATCACTTGAGTGCCATAATTTTTTAAAAACTTTCATCACAAGTGCCATGCCACATCGAATTCCCGACACTTGAGTGAACGTTCTTTAAAAGTTGTGGCACCCAAGTGCACGTTTTTTAGAAGTTATGGCACTCAAGTTATTGAAAAAAAAGTTATGACACTAAGTAAGCGCCATACAAAAGTTATGCCACTTGTGGCGTACTTATCCCTATGAAGAGAATAAAGAAGATTGTTTACTTTCACCTGCCAAAAGATTGCAAGGTCAACATCAAATGCACGAAGAAATTCCATAAGAAAACATACAGTACCATTCATTAATTACAAGCATATAACATCATGAAAACAATACGAGTGCCATTAAGAAAAAGAGGTGAAAGATTTGTTTTTAGTGCAAACTGTAGTCATATGTCATCATTGTAACATTTTACATAAAAATAAAGATTTTACGTGGCAAAATTTGCCACATACATCACGTAGAGTGGGGTATCATCAAATTGGAGAATTTCAAGCTAACAAAGAAATTTAAAGGATCACACTACCTTCATCCACTAATCATCCATGAGAGACTATTAGATATCATGAGATATAGCAACAACTGTCTTATGAGGCAGTAGTAACATTTCAGCCTTCATTGTTCAATGAAGAGCACTGAAAATTATAATGAAACGAGAGAAAAAAGTGTATTATGATACACTCTTCAGCCAGTCTTCATGCATGCAAAACTGAACCATTGAAGGTTCTATTGCCTTCAAGATCAGATCACCAAATTTTCTATCTTCAAGCACACTTTGAACGGTAGTTGCAGCTCATTTCCTTTAAGAACAATATTGAGGAAACCAAACAAGTGAACATCCAAAGGATCAAGCATCCCTTGCGACAATACATCCAGCGACCTGGTCGCCCGATTTGGACAAATTAGGCGTCATTGGAAAGCTCTTACAATGCACAACCTAATTGTTTTTTTTTTTATCATAATCTTAACAAGGTTAACTTTCGATCAAAATCTAGTTGAACGTTGGTAAAAAAATAAGGTGTTTACAGGGTCAACAGTCTTCAACAAAGTAATAGATTTGATTCACGTGGAATATGTGTTTGGATTGAGGGAAGTGAGGGGAATTGGGTAGAAATAATAACCTAGGTATATTTTCCCTTATTTGGCCATCTCAATTAGAGAGGAAGTGGATGGAAATGATTTTAAACAGA